TCCTCTCCTCCTGAGTACAACCCTCTGCCTCACACCTGGGAATAAACCAAGAAAACAGCAAGATCTCTGCCCATAACATTTTCTAACCAGAAATTAATGTCATAAGAATGAAATTAAATTAAATTGGGTTGTCTTGTTCCTCACAGTACTGTGAGAAAGGCATTATGAATGAAACAATCATGTCTTCACTGATAGAAATCAGAAAACCATTTCAGGAGTTTCTTTTCTAAAGAAGGCACCAATTCTATCATCCTCTCCTCACTCCCAAATCCATTAGCAAATATACAGAGTGAGTTGTATTTAGGTTTTCAACATTTTACTACCAATTTGTGAGTATTAGTCATAATTTCAAGCCTAAAGTGTGTGAACAAAATACACATGTAGGCAAATATGAACAATAAATATGCAAAATGTAAAATCATTAGCACATTTATTTACATAACAGTATTGGAGCTGTACCTCCTCTACATGGCTCCAATTTCCAACAATACTTTATCTTCCAGTTTCAAAGCTTGCATGACAAATTCTGAAGTATCTCTTGTATCCATCAATGGATATAATATTTTTTATGCAACCTCATCTGGACACTAAGTTCTACACAAATTCTTATTTTTTAACTTCAAAGAAAATACATTTTCTCAAACTTATGCCAAATACAATTTGCATTCTTCACTGGATGGCAGTAGATAGAAACTGTTACTTTTAAAATGAGGTCTGTATTTAATCTTTAATAATCTGGTTTATGTTATTCTAGCTTGTCTTTGAAACAAGTATGAATGCAATTTATGCTTTCAATAAGGATTGATTTTACCTTGCCAGGACTTCACTAGAAACACAGTCCACCTAACGTTCAACTATTATAGACTTCAGAAAAAAGAGTTCTACAGCTTCTATTAATAATAGAATGAAAATTATTATCAGCATTCTGTAGAGTCCTGTAAAGGATATAGATAATTTGGTAAGAATTTGAGATGACACTCATCAATTTTTTTTTTTTTTGGACACTGTAAAGAACTCTTTCTCCAGATTTCCTCCAACATGGAAACAATTTGATACAAATCTTTGGATCCTCCAACAAAGAACTAAAATCCCATTGGATTGCAAAAGACATTTATTTTTTGGAAAGTAATCTCCCAGTGCTTGTGCATTATTTTTTGAATAATTTTGAAGAAACACATAATAAATTATTACAGTAAATAGCAGGGGATGTACTAGCTAGCTTAGGCTGCTTTTTTGAAGACTTTTTGGGCTCAGAAGATAGGGTAATGCAATACTAATCTGTTTCTAGGAAATGCAAATGGTAAAAAAAAAACATTTGCACAGTATCTGCTTTATATGACATTTTTGGCTATTGATTTTCAATACTGTCTTATCCACTCTACCTGTACTGTATCTTTCTCTGGGGCATCATTTGCCTTTAAACATCTCTGTAAGCTGTTTCTCACAGAAACTTTTATTTTATTTGTTCAACATAGAACTGAAAATAGTACATCTTTATTACTTAGTTGCAGAAGTGAAATATGCTGTTTAGTCTGGTAACTGCAGCACCAGCAAAGTTGCCCCAGCTAAGGAGAAAATGCACATTTCCACACTAAAGAGATAAGAAAGACTCCTCAATCCTTGAAACAGACATTGCAGGGTGACCCAGGAGTTCTTTCTGTATTTTCTGACAAAAACTTAGAATGAGTGTAACTAGCTGTAAGTGTAACACAAAATCAGCAGAATGGATATACATGAACCTATTGTGAAATTCAATACATACAGAAATTAGTTAAAGGTAATAAAAAAGATCAGGAGTTCTCAAGGGTGCACATGTCCATTGAAGAGCAATGAGTCCCCAGATGCATCCAGTGCTGTAATAAAAACATACCATCCCTACAAATCTTTATTAGAATTGTAGAGTTTTGATTTTTCACCCATGTTTCACTCCAAGGACAGACAAAAGACAAATGTGCACCAGAACATAAGGCCTTTTAGCACCTAGTGCATTCACACTTGCTTTTAGGGCCCACATGTTATCTGCTCTTACTTAGTTGGATCAAATAATGTGCTATGCTGTCTTCCTGGCAAGGAAAGTACAGCTGCATCTTTCAGGTACCACAGTTACTAAGGTGTGTTCCTCAAAGACTTCTGTATTTCATCTTCAGAGACCTTACTCCTTTCATCTTCAGAAAACTCACCAAATGCAAACATTACTTTTAAGATTTTGGGGTTTTTATAGGGCCATTCAAAGTTTCTAACTCCATCTATATTACTTTGGCACCAGGTTTCTGACTGAGCTGACATTTAGATAAGAGAGGATAGATTCCAGACCCTCCTGGGCTTATAAAGTAAAGCACCATAAACTTTGAACCTGTGCAGTATCTCTCCCAAGTCACAAGCAAAGATCTGAAGAAATTCTGGTGAAATTCAGTTTGTAACAATGCTATTAAATTGCAAAGAATGAGATTATGACCAGGGTTATAATAGCAGCATTTAAAAATTATTTGCATATATATATTTATTTAAAACTAAATCCTTTTACTGTAGCATATATTCTTTTAGAGTACTGAGGGAGTTCTAAAATATTTTCTTAGGTAATAAAATCTCCTGCCTTTCCATCTATTTTTATTAAATACTCCAGAGTATTTCAAGGACTGATGAAAATGTAACTGTAAAAATAATAGGATACTTTACTATCAAAAATGCTTCTGCTTTCTCATTTCTATTCACATTTCCTCTCTCTTTTTTATGGACTATGCACCCCCATCTTCTAAGGCTTTCCATTTACAATCCTTGTTATGGAAAAGTCATATCAAAAATCAGAGAAAAAAAAATGGCTAAATATCATAGCTATTAAATTAATAAACAAACCTCTGTAATTAATGCATTGAATAACCCTCCATACACACACACACACACATTTATGTTGCTACTTAGGTACAAAGTCCCACGGAATGCTCAACCATATAATCCATGTATGTGGAGGTCAGTGGACAGACAGATCCCTAACATACTCCTATCAATAATTTTTTATCCAAATAGAGTGGGGTAGCACTCTGATATGATACTAAGCATGGTCTCCACTCTGTAAACGTGTCTAGGAGGTAACCAAGAACTTGATTCGGTCATTGAGAATATAAGCCTTTAGCAACATTTGAAATTCTATGGAATTCATAACACTACAGGGAAAAAATCCAAGCCTTAATGTTTTAACAGTACACTGGGAAATTGGTCAAAAGCTGAGATCAGTGTCATGAGTCGGAAAGCAGCTAATAACACCAACTACATCAATGTCATTATACCAGTATCAGTAACTTTCAGCCTGGACTTGACTTACATAACAACAACCTTTCAGTTTATAAGAATAAGATACACTGATTATGGGAATTTCTGTTTACTTCATAAGCAACCTCAAACTCATAAACATAATGAAAGCAAAAAAAGATGGAAAAGAAAAGCTGTATTACTGACTTCTACTACCAACAGATGGAGTCAGGGAAAATTACACAAATCCAAATGTCGGCTTAAAACATTGCCACAAAATAAGGGAAAGAGATGTGTTGTCTTAGAAAGACAGAATAGTTGAGACTGGAAGGGACCTCTGTAAGTCCCCAGTTCAAACACACTCCCTCAAAAGTTGTGCCAGCAGAGCAGATTGCTCAGGACCTTCTCCATTCGGGTTTTGAGAATGCCCAAGAATCGAGACTATACAAATCTCTGTGTGATACAATCCAGTATTTGACACAATTCAGTCAAATAAGTGAGGTTTTTTGGTTTGGTTTTTTTTTTAATGTTTAAGTGGAATCTGGAATAAAGTTTCAGAGTATGATGACCATTCCTCCTTAAAAATGAGCAGAAAAGCAAGCTTCCATATTTTGAATAGAAAAGTTCATGCTTCAAAAGTTAAAACAAGTGGTTATTATATTGTATTATATTATAGATGGGATAGGAGAGAAATCTGCTATCTTTGCTATGTATTCCTGGAGTTTTAGGTGATGCTAGGAGACCACAACATCAGATAAAGACAGACAGGTTAGCATATATGAATCACAGACATATCAGGAAACAGTGCCAGGAACTAAAAGGCAATGCAGACAAGCCTTTGGCATTTTCAGTATGAATACCAGAAAGAAACTTTCAAGGTACAAATACATATAGTTAAAGTAAGGAGCTAAAAGCTACTTCCAAAGACACAGAAAGCTTTCATCTCACTGTACTGTCACCTAAAGACAAAGCAGGTTTATAAGACTGTTGCTAAATTCTGCCACCGTCTTTTCTGACAATGCTTATTTTATCTGCTTACAGTTCCTAAATTTGATTAACTTTTCCAGCCACAAGAAAGGCTTTGTTTAAAAGCGCACAGTGTACTACAACTTACTCCTTGCTGCTGAGTGTTGCCATCAACAGATGAAGACAAACTGAAATAAAAGACTTTAAACATAATTCTTAGCCTGAGAAGATATTCATCTAGACAACAATTTTGTCAATTCTCACTTCTTTTCTACATAACACTCCCTTTGCACCATATCTACTTGTCCTTAGTAACAATGAACTCTGGCAGATTTTTCATATTTTATTAAATGAAGTAAAAATTTGCATATCTTATGATGCTTTATAATGGTCTCCTTTGATCATTACAGAAGTCACTTTTAATTTCAATCCATCCACAGAAAACTGTTCTACATATAGGCAAATAATGAAGTAATGACCAAAGGAGTGCAGATATCATCAAGAGAGTAGACTAGAACCCTTGAATTCTGTCACTTCCAGGTGAAAGAGGGAAGAGAATGAAAAGGAAACTCATCAGCTGATGCTACCTGTAACCACCTCATCTAAGAATGCAAAAGGAAACATTGTAAAGCACATGTAATCAGGTATAAGACACTTCTCAACTGGCAAAAAAAAGAAAGGCAAGGGGAAAAGTGTATGATTAAAAAGAGGAGAAGAGAGAGAAAAATACAGATTTTTTTTTTTCCCCAAATCATGGCCATGTGCATAATATACAGAAAAGTCCTTACCTTTTTCACTGACACTTTCACTTTCTATCTCCACATCTTCACAGCTAGTATATTCTGGTGTTGATGCCCCTTCTTCCTCTGAGCTACTAACTGACATCTGCCTTTTCTTTCCGCCTCTTTTTGCTCTATGAGGCTTTGGAGGGGATGGCCGCACTGATTCCGACTGGTCAGAGCTAAGGGAATCATTCCTTAGCATGGTCTCCATTTTCTCCCGCTTTGCTTTTCGCATGAGAATAGCAGAGCTAGGATCAAGGCGGCTCTGTTTTATAAAGGAATCGTGGTTCTTGTATTCTACGTGTTCTATAGGAACTGGACTATGCCTGGGAGTTGGTGGGCTATGATTAGTTAATTGTTTAGAAACAGAAATTCTTACATCACCTGTTCTGTCTATAGAGTACGACCTCTGAGTTTCCACAAGAGATTTTCTGTCCTGAGTTCCCTGTAATTGTGAGCGTTTTCCTAATTTATTCTCAGGTACCTCCGCTTCCTCCATTTCTGTGTGTGGCAGAGCTACATCACTGTGTCTTCTCTCGTGTCGTGCTTTAGAAACTTTGGCATGCATGCGCATCTGCTGCTCCTCAGGGTGTGGTTTTACAGGGTATCTTGCCAGATTGGGGTCACTCCTGTAACGGGTATGATATTCATCTTCCTTCCTTTGCTTTTCATCATCAGGCACTTTGCCTTCCTCAAGTTTCTCTGGCAAGTCTGGGTAATCCTGTGACTTGCCTTTCTCCAGCCTTCTACCTTCATGCCGCTCTTTACGCTCCCTGTCATCTGTTGGTCCTTCTTTTTGAAGTGAGGATTTTGGCACACGCTTACGCTCACTCTTTACACCTTTGCCATTCTGGTCAGAAACCAATACTGCCTTCTTCCTACAATGAAAAGGAGTACAGTAATATGAAGAATTGAATGGAAAATAGAAATAATTGCATACAGTTATGGAAAAAAAATTCAAAACCAGGATAAGCTATGGAAAAGCAGAAAATACTTAACACAAATTAAATCTATTAATCCTTCCATCTTAATTTTATTTTCCAACAGCAAACAACTCCCAGAGTCCACAAAAAGATAATTATGAATGGTCCAATTAATGAGTAAAATCAAAACCAGATATTGACATGGATAATTTACCCATGTAAGTAAGAAGACCTAGAGTTGTCTTTGTAGTAACTGCAGAATTATGACAGAGTACTGGAGTGTGCTCTTTATTTTTCTGTCAGCAGTCATGAGAGTTACAGATTAACCACGCAATTCACTTCAAGTGCCCTGACAGCATGGATATAAATACCACCAAATGGAGTATCTACAACAATAATATTTCAGAAAGAAGTAATATAGATATAAAAATATGCAAAAGATAATATATCCAGAAATAGTATTTAAACTAGTTTGATTTATCTTTGAAGGTCTAAAAAGAAGTGCCCATTCCAGAAGCATGTAAAGGAAAGCAAATTGATTTCTTGAGATAAATTAATGGCATTCCTTTCTCCAATAATAAAAGAGGACAAGAAGTTTATTTCTCTATGCAGACATATGTACAAAACAATAAATAATGAGGCTGCATTATATTTTTTTTTCTCTTTCATATTCTGAAAGCCAATAAGTAAGCCAAATAATCATAAAATTCCCTTATGCTGGATATTTTTATTTCTCTTATCATTCCAATTGCCTTTCATTTAGCAGTTCACATATGAATTGAAGAAGAAGGAACACAGCTATACAGTGTATTTGAGAAGAATGCACACCAGGATGAAGTCACTAGAACTTTGTTTTGTGGCACTGAATCTTCCCTTCCACAACTGACACTTCTTTGGATTACATATCAAAGACCCTCACAAGGAACAAAGTTGGACATCAATCACATTAAGCTCCCTTCTCCTTTTTTTTTCTTTTCCCATCTCCCGTTCCTCCAGGGTTTTTGGTAATTAATGGGACCTGAACATACTACAGATAGTCTTTAATCAGAGTGCTTGGAATTAGTTTGAAATTCTCAGTGATGAAGTAATGAACACTAATTTTGTAAAACTAATATGAACATCTCAGTTTTGGGCAGCAAAGCAGAAATATAAAATGTTTTGCTGCCCTAAAAGTTACAACTGCTCTGGGGGCCTTCCCTGTATTGAGGGACAAAAGTCAAAAGAATTATGGGAGGGCATCACTTACACAATACATATATGTAACACTAACCTGAATTTGGTACAGTTAAACCCAGACAGATCTCACCCACACAGTAAGTTACTAGCCACTGCTCATCATCCATTTTCAGCTCCAATAGCTAGAGGGAAAAAAATCATCAACCATTCTGGCCAGAATCTGGAAGATCTTCTATGGCAGATTCTTGTTTTGTCACAGTCTCTCTCCTCAACTGCTCCACCATCTGCCAGGCTGCAGCCAAAAGAACAGCAACTTTTTCGTTGCATTAGCCTCCTGATTTGCTACTCCTCAACCCATTCATCACACAGAATTCAGCTCAGGAACTACCTCATTTACTCACTTAAAATAGTTTGCTTCTGGTTGCTTTATTCTTGCAAACAACTTGCTCTGAATTCAAGAAGGTACTATTGCTCTTCTACACGAATGTTAACTTCATATTTTTAAATGAGGTCTTTTAACTGTATTATTTATAACAATAAAATTGGAAATATAATTGATGAAGAGATAAAATATAAGGTTATCTGAAAGAATTCCACAGGGTGTTTTCTGATTGCTTAGGTGTGGATTTTTCAGGAGAGTGTTGCTTTAAAAATTCAAGAACACTAAAGGCTTGCCCTTTGCTTAGTAACTTTAAAATACGAGTCAAATTTAAAATTTAAAAGCAACCTACAATTCTATATTCAAAGTGTACATGAAAATGCATTGAAGTCTATGGAAATATCCATAACATATAATTTTTTTCTCATTTTTGTTGCATGGATCAAATTAGACAATGCACTTGCTAGCAAAACTTTATCCTTCCCTGGTGAGTAAATCAATTTACTCTTTGTTTTTGCATAGTAGTAAACATACAGGAGGCCCAATTGAACTAGCATTTAGCATTGTAGGCTTTATCTAGACAGAAAGCATTACCTCTCTTTAGGAGGTTCACTTCTAGACCTTGAAGCTTGCTTTTGGTCCGGGCCCATAGCTGGCTGTGACACTTCTGCTCCTTTCCTACGGTCAGGCTGCACACTGGAAGAAGAGATTTCCTGTGATGAGGCAGCTGCTGTACTTAAGGGAGTCTGTGACCTCGATCGCTCTTGAAGTCTTGCTTTCTTTTCTCTCGGTGTATCCGAGCTTGCGCCCGTCGCCGTATCGCTCAGCGTTCCATCCTGACTGGGTGACGGCTGTGGTCCACTTCCAAAAAACCACGCTCCAGATTTCGTTAGGATTTCTTGTTGCTTTCGACATAAATTGCATACCCACATAACCTAGTTGAAGACAACAAGAAGAGTCAGTGCAGCTGCCTCCCAGAGCCTGCAATGCATGCTCACTACCGCCGAGCAGGTACGACCTCTGGCTCTCTGAGCTAGTGAGGCTGGTGCTCGTGACAGACCCACAACATGCTTCTGCACTGGCTAGAGCCAAGCATCCTGCAGGCACATGCTATGCGAGCTTCTCCAAAATGTGTTGTCAATATACATCAGTCCTACCTGTGGCAATCCTCCCTCAGCCCAGCCCTAGTTCTCCTCTGAACAGACACTGACAACGTGACCGTGCTTGTTGGGGGGGTTGATGCAGCAGGGAGTGGGTTGGGTTTTTTCCACTGGTGTGGATCACTGTCAGGACAGACAATCCCACCAGACTCTAAACAGGACTTGCACCTCAAGGGGCAGTGTCCTGCCCAGCTAACTCCCAACTTCTGTGGTCACAGAAAATTGACATGGTATTTTCTTGTGAAATAATATTCTCACATTAAATGACTCCACATTGTCCTGCAAATAAATTCATTATGTACCATGAATTATTTTAGCTACACCTACTGCAATTACTTAGAGGTGAAAAGTAAAACTTAAGAAATCTACTAATAGAAAACTAAATACACCAGTGAAAACAATGCAGAAATACCATATTTTGTAATACTTGCAAATTATCATCATAATCTTTTTGAGTTATAGCTGCAAATAATAAATTAGCAAACATGTGTCCCAGTAAATCACAATTAAGTTGTGTGCCTAGACTGTGGTGCCCAGTATTTTGGTTTTTTTTTTAATTGGGGGTTTCATTTCTTACACACAGATATACAGGAGCACACACATTAAAGCAAGACTCTATGTTTCCAGCCTGTATACTGTAGGTACAGTCTTATGTACAAGAGCAACTCAACCAGAAAAATAAATGGTTAATCAAGACTAAAATATGTGAAAATTAAAGAAAAAATTGAGACAATAAAAAAGCAGTTTTCAGAAAGAAGAAAAAATAGGCAAAATGCATGAAGGATATAGAAGAGAAAGGATTTTTTTCAGAAATAAAAATAGAGATGAGAGGAAACAAAGCAGATTATTATTAGGGAAAATGGTAAAGAAAATATATTAATTTAATATGGAAAGCATATAGGAATGGGTAAAATTGCAATGAAGCTAAGAATGATGACAAAAGTTGGGAGGAAAAATATGCTTGAAATATCTTGTGTAAACACAGGAATGATGCAACAGTCACAAAATTATACAGTACTTAAAATAAAAAAAGAAGAGTAAAAAACACTTCATGGAAGAACTTGAAACAGGACAAAGTTCTATTACTGAGCTCTTTGACTCACTGGCCTGTGGAGGTAGTGCATGGCTTACAAGGCACAATGAAAACTTTAGGAATTTTACATATTTAAAATAATTAACATTTATTTAAAACACTCTAGAATAGATTATCTTTTTAGGTCTGAAAACTACATCAGAACTTGCAAGTGCATTCCTGCACTGTTTGGTCAAACCACAAAGAGAAGACATCCAACTCTTTACCCTCAGTCAGGATTGTACCTTCATCAAAAGATGACTGTTATATTTCTTCTATTTAAGAAGGATAATAAAATATCTACTAATACATCAGTTTAAAAAGACCAAACCTTAATCAAAAGCTACAATTATTCCAACAGGGGCATAAACATATATCATGATAAAAACAAGTAACACTCAGTAGGACAATAGAAACAACAGCTTTGACAAAGATAAATTCTAGACCTTTAAAAAACAAACAAAAAAAAGACCCTTGATTCCAAAATGTCTAATTTATTTCATCTAGTACACCTCAAAAACCAGCAATTTAGTTTATTAGACTATGTGTTCTAAATAGAACAGACTTTTAGTCTATCAGATTATTATTACAGGTATTCAAAAACACAGCAAGGCTAAAGGAAAAAAGCCACATTTAAAAATGCTTTTATAGGATCTGGCACAGCTGTTAGTTCATTAGACAGCAAAAGTGTGTATGCAAGTGTTCTGTGTATAAAATCTATGTCAATGCTATAAACCAAAGTCAGTAACAAAAAATTGACACTACTTGTATTTTATCAGTTTCCAAGAAAGGTTGAAAAAAGTGTAAATAAAAAAATTAACCAACTAGAGTTTGTTTAAAGAATAAGAAATATTTAAGTAAAAGTAAATTATCCTAATTAAATTGCACACATGTGTATGTATGCAAACCTAGTAACATACTTCCTTTACAACTTAATGTATTTAATAATTTAAATATGTATAAATTATGTAATAAAATTCAAGAAAATTCTGTTAATTTCCATAATTATCTTTGACACTGTAATTAATTTTATGCAAAATATTATGAGATACAAACAAATAAGAATAGTTAGTGCACAAAGAGACTCCGAAAAATAAAGGCTACTGAAAAAAGAAATACTAGACAAGTAAATACAAACCCATTTTCTTACAGCTATTTTTAAACTCTGCCTCTTGGACACAGTACATACCAATCACCACAGATTGCACACATAGGAAATCTGTATTATACTCACATAGAAGCTATATATTACGACCCCTGTTTAGGAATCTCTTCAGGAATTAAAAATGCTACAGTTGTCTTGAGATCTTTTCAGTCCAAAAGGAAAAATAATATAAGCTCTTCTTTAAGAGGAAAAAAAAAATCAAAAATTGAGGTGACAGAAGAGTTTCAATGACAAAACTGTATATTGAAAAACATTTTTAGAGAAGTATGTGGAGCAAGCAATTCAGCAGCATGCAGGAATTACATCCTGATTGAATATACTGGGATGTGGTCCAAACTAATCTAAACTAAAGCAGGTCTGCGTAATAACTTATCTTAACAATCCACAGATGTTAGGCAACCAAACAAATGCTCTGATGAAGGATTACACTTCTCTAATGTGGCTTCTGGACCTCCACACGGTGCATCAGTAAAATGAAGACTGTAAGACAATTTTGCTCTGGCCTGTCGCTTCAAACACAGTTTCTGTTTACTCTCCTCTGGACAGTGAGCTCTGATGAAGTGCTACATTAGGGCATTCAAGACATCCAGAGTCTGGTTTTTGTTTCTGGCCTTGTTTCTGGTTTATTGCATCCTTGCACACGTCAATGCAATTTCACACGTGAAGCTATCCAAGAGAACCAGTAAAAGCGTGTTCTTCATTCACGGGGTTCATATGCATGGCTCTGGAAAAAGGTGCATTTTCACAGCATAGCAAAGGGTTCTGGGCTTTACTGCTACATAACAAAAAAGACCAGTGGCACACACAGGACTCAGCACACGTGGGTCAACAGTTCCCACACAGATTCATGTGGAAACTTGACAGGCTGCGTGAAAACATGCTAGAAGGATCCCATGCTTGCCCTCGTGTGGCAGAATATTTCATTCACAGAAAAAATACGCCTCAAACTTACTCTTACAGGTACTGCTGAATGTGATCCACAATGAGGAGGAACAGTATTCCTGTACTAACACAACATGAAATTCCAACTTGAAAGAGCCCATAGTAAGGAATATATATATAATATATAACTATACACACAGAAAAAGCATTTTCAGTTACAAAAACAAGAACAATTCTACACAATTACATATTTCAAACCTGCACTTTAGAATGCAGAAAAAAGGCTTTTTTTCAAATTCAAATTTGGAAACTTCCAAACATGCACTGGGAGGCTAAAGTCACATTGTTGGGGGCACAAAGTTTATACTAAATTTATGTGACACATGCCAGGCAAAATTCAGACTGAGGTCAGAGCAAGTTCCCCAAATCCTTCACCCAAGCCAGGATTCTGAGGAGGGTCCATAAAGAACACACTCCTTTATGCTTCCTGAGTTTAGAAATTGAAATACCACAGTTAGGATGACTCCCATGCATCCTGCTTCATGCCTATGCAGCAAATTAGGTAACAAGTGTGCTAATAGAGCAGGCCACAAGCTATTCCTTACTGAACCTTCACACTACCTTAATTATTTCACTTCTGAAGGGTGTACACACTACATTTTTTGAGGTTGTTGATTTAATGTACATTCCTTCTACACACTTTTGGAAGACACTGGTTATTTCAGACAATTCTAATTAGCCAGACCCTCTTCACTGCCTGAGGAACCATTAACTTCAGCAGAGCTCTACCAGCACCCTACAACTTATCTCTTGAAAGTCAAAGAGAAGAAACAATAACAATTACCTCCTACAAAATTTTCATTCACAAAATTAAGTTAGCTTATGCATCATTTAATGTTTCTGAGATAACATAAAAACATGCAGCAAACCATGAAATTATTATACAGCATTGCATTTATCTCTTCTGCTATAGCAGAATTATTTTTTTAATAATATCCTATCTAAATGTTGTGATTGCTTCACTCCATTAAAATATAAATAAATAAAGCTGAAATCTGCTTGAATACCTACATTAGTCCAAAATCTTAAACAACTCTTGCCTTTCTAATGAATGTGTGCTCCTGAGTCCAAGTTTACATTAAATATATTTTTCAAATGTACAGACAGCTGGGTACATCCAATAGATCCTGCTCAGCAAAAAAGGAAGGTCTTCTCCCCAACTCCCTCCTCTTTCTTCCTATCTGGGTTTGTTCTTTTCCTTTCTTGCTCACAGGAAGGTTCCCTGTTCCACATACTCACTTCTATACTGTTTCTTGATGGTCAGGTTCTCCCAGGAGCCATTTGTATGTAAAACCATTGCAGAAACTTATCTGTATTTTCTTAAATTGGTTTCATTCTCTGTCACATCTATTTTTTTTCATGGAGGGAACGATGAGTAGTGAAATCATGTGACCAGAAACAAAAGCAAATGGGGATAAGGGTGTGTTTTACCTACAGCACTGCCTCACGATCTCCCATTAAATTATATCTTGAAATGACAATACTGGCACACTAGACCTGCACAGAAACATTTTTGAGCACTGAAGCCAAATGACACAAAATAATCAGTCTCTGTGCTAGGGTCTCTGATGTACTTCAAAGCAAGGTGTCCAAACAAGTTGCTTCCTGGAGGTGCACTGCAGAACACTCCAACTCCCCACCTCCCAGGAAAAGTTGGCAAGAAAATGCTAAAGGCAGAAGACCAAGAGTGTGCCAAGTAGCTTTGTGTCAGTTTACTCACACTGATACTCTAAAACTTAGGAGTAGTTCCAGATTATGTTTAATTTATTAATAAAGAAGTAACTGAGGAATCTAGGTTTTGATTTTTCTAAAGCCTCTCCCGAGACTGAAGGGCTCAACAGGACTATGCAATTGTCTGCTGTCCACCTCTTCAATCAGGGAGAGGACCACTTTGCCCATGCTGATGGTCATCAGACATACAGGGCTCAGCCATTTCAGGAAAGTGACAATAAGCCATTTTAATTTAGTACTCTCTGTTCTTCCATTCCTATGGAATCTGCTTCTTCCAGAGCAGACTTTCTTCAGAATTCAGCTTTTCAGCTAGATATTTTATTCCAGTTTGGCAAAAAAAAAAGGAAGATTTTGCAGACAGCTGATTGGGTTCTTCCCTATTTTCTGTCTGCACCCTACAATAATGTGCTACCTCACTGGACAATGCAATAAAAATTTGCACAGGCATGGAAGTTTTCAGGTGATTATATTCTTAAAAGGTACATAAAACATGAAGCTCTATAAAAGTCCTATAAATATTTCATTAGTGCAACCTCTTTTGGCATCACAGAATCGACATGGCAATTCAACCACAAGACATATTCATAGGAAATTAGGCTACTCACAGAACTGCTTGTTGCCTTAAATCCTATGGTGCCATTTACAAGCTTGACTGAGAGCTTCAAGGAGGGATGTTTAGAAGTCTGCCTTACCAGAATTTTCCACTTGCACAAGAGACTGCACCTCCTACTCTTTTTCTGCTTGCCTTTCAGTTAACTGAGAAGTTACATTTTCAGATTAGATTCTATGTGTACCAAGAAGGATTGAAGTAAGATGCCTAAAAGTAACTAAGTCTGTCATAAAAGTAAGTAAATCTGTCTCCACTGAATTTACTATAAGCATGTCAGGTATTTAGGTCTCCAGCCAAAGAGATTCCACTCAGTTTCACATAGAAACAGTGAAATAAAACAAGATCCTGTGTCTAATGATAGCCTAGTGCCTGTAGCAGTAAGTCAGCATATCCCACCTTGCTGCCACAGGATTTAGGGCCCATGTGCCAGCCATATGTATGTGTCTTATGTACATAAAGCATAAAAAATGGCAACGGATGTCTACTTTTAGGCAACTGAGCCCACAGCTGATGTACTGGTCCTAATCATGTTCCTGGCCTAGGTTCCTAAATCCACAGCTAAAAACTGCCTAAAGGAAGGGAAAAATATGCAGTGGAGCAGTGATTCAAGGAGTTAACATCAAAAGGGCATTTCATGCTAGTTTTGTTGCAAATGCTGCTAGCAACAATATTACTAGTCATTTCAAGATTAAAAAAGAAAAGAAAAAACACCTGACTTTCTTCACATGCCCTTCTGCCAAAATTCAGCTACTGCTGCCAATCTTTCAGAAAGCTGCCAAAAACTTACCCCAAAATTAAACATTATCTAGAATAATCCTGCAGCAAACTGAGTGTTGGAACGCAGACACTTAGGCAACTATAAAGTAACATGTGAAACAGCACATAGCCATGTTCCAGACACTAGTGCAAGGTACTTCTCTGAGAATATCTTTGGAGTTCAAGGAAGAAAGCAAAATTACTAGTGGTGAAGGCGGGAGTTGTGTCTAAAAATTCACACCAGCACATTTGCATACAGTAATTTAAATATTCTTCCCCTGAAAGTTCTTTTCTAAATCTGCTACACAAAGAAATTGTTAACACATGGTACTAAAAAAATACCACAAAAAGTGCATTCTCATGGTTACAGCTGTGATTTTCTAAAGCAAGAATAAATTGCTTTCCTCATAAATTAGATCATTTTTCAACTTTGTTTATCTTGCCTGAATTTCTTTCCATTTCTTCTGATAACATAGTAGCCATGAATTGCTAGTCACATGTTCTGTAACATCAATATCCATTTTTCACAGACCATTAAGTTACCCTAGAAATTATTATCTCACTGATAATTTTTATGTATTCTTCTAACCTTCTTCAAAAAAAACCTAAAAGGTTTTGTATATCTATTTGAACATTTGGCTGCCTTGATGAGCCACAGAAGGTGTACTCTTCTTAATCACTTAATAGTTCCCATAGTTACAGATACACAGAGAACAATTTTTTTTTTTTTTTTTTTTACAGTACAGAAATCTGACAAAATAAGGTCAATGGCATGCAACAGCTTTACAGTCAGGACTGACATAAAGTTTTGGTTGCTATTTATAAAACGGGCACAATTCTATTTATCCATTTATATATTTACAAACCACAGTAAAAATATAGAAATGCTCAGAACCAGACTGTCTTTAATAGTGGATGGGTATGTTCATAATTTCTGTGGGAGCTTTCACTACAGCACCATTATTTATCTTTTTATACTCTTCTTTTATACATCTTTTATATATACACATATAATTATTCATTAAAAAACTCATGGAAAGGAAATGAGTGGGTAAACTGGTGTAGGTCATAGCAGAATTTATGCATGAAATAATTTTTTATTTTTTATTCTTAGACATACACCAAAATATATTAAAAATAGTGCTATGGATTCTACATGTTTGGAGAAACATTCAAAACCCTAAAGAACACAGTCCTGGAAACCTGATCTACTTGAGCCTGCTCCAGGCAAGGATTTGGACTCAATGTCCTCCAGAGACACCTTCAAACATCTAAAACTCTGTGAAACTCTAAAGAATAAAGCACTGATAATAGCCTTATTGTTGTTCAGCTACGTTACATACCTTACTGCTAGGTCTGCCTCTTTTTTGTCTCACTATCTACACAGGTTTCGGCTCTAAAGCAAACCATACCTATCACCTGAAGATCTGAGTGGAGAGGCTCTGTCCTCACGTGAGGGGCTGTAGGAAGCCCACAGCCCACAGCTGACCCATTTTATTCCCAGATTATACACCATGAACAGAACTTCCTCAGCTATCCAAGAGCTTAAGATTCCTTCTACCAAAAAGCTGGTGGAGGGACTGAGTGCTGGAAAACTTCCAATATGATATAGTAAGAGCAAAGTTGTATTATATTTATAGCATATATGTATATATATATATATATACATACATATATATACACACACAAAGATATCTCCAGAGATTTCAGAGATTAGGTCTCTATCCCGTGTTGAAGTAAGATGTGAATAGCTGATGGCATCCACTTTAGGTTTGAGAGGCTGTCTACCTAAAACATGTATCTGGGGTTTCCAACCTGTACAATGCCTATCACTGTTGAGTCAATCAGAAGAACATACTGGCCTTGACAGACACCAGGAGCATGGGGTCACCAGGAGATCTGTTCTGGGCACCTCTGTCTGCAGAGGCAATTCAGGGGAAAGAAAAATGAACAGAGGAAAAGAGCAA